GATGATTGATTGTGGACTATTCGGTACGTGTTTGGACCCCGAGTGGGGGAGAGTTGGTGATCCACAACGAGGGTGCTCAATGTGGGCCGACTCTTTGGTCGGTAGCCAGGGCTAGGCGTTATTTTTAATAGCGTTGTTTTGGGTTTGTGGCCTATGTGATGGATGCCTCTGAGAAAGGGGGGACCATTGATGATTTACCGATTGTTCAGGAATACATAGATCTGTTTCCGCAGGAGTTTCTAGGAGTGCATCCGGAGAGCCAAGTGTAGTTTTAGATTGATTTGGTTCCAGGTGCAGCTCTGATAGCCAAGGCACCCTATCGGTTAGCACCTCCAGAGGGTGTTAACTACCGATAGCTGAACAAGTTAACGGTATAGAACCATTATCCAATCCAATGGATCGGAAAATTATTCGAGCAACTTCAGGGTACATCTTGGTTCTCTATGATTGATATGCGCTCGGGTTACCATCAGATGGGGGTTAGGGAAGAGGAGATGCAGAAGACGGCCTTCTTAAGTCATTATGGTCATTACGAGTTTGTGGTTATCCCTTAGTGTCGGATGTCCCTGAAACCATACATATAAATTGTAAGAAAAAGCTTAGTGAGTTACCCATAGTATCACATACCAAACATAAACAAGTTATTGTTATTGGCCAAGCCATAGTCTTACAAGTAGTTATCCTGCCAAGGGCCAAATCCCGGTCTTACATACTGTCGCCATGCGCCAGATCCTAGTCTTTTATATAGATGCTAGGGGCTACATCCTGGTCATTCATATAATTGCTAAGGGCCAAATCCTGGTCTTTTATACAATTTCTAGGGGCTAAATCTTAGTCTTTCATGCACCTATTACAGACATAACTAGCATCCCATATCACAATTAATGGGTCGTCCTTGGTGCCTTCGACCCAATGATACGATGAGAAAATTCACCTCAGTCCACTGATAATAAACTAGATGCTCGGCCATAGAACCGGAAGATCCCACACTAAAACAACAAATAACCCCAATAAGAAATTAGGTTATAAACCATAACCATGGGTCTAAGTCCCAAATCTAGACCCCTAAAATAAAATCCATTTTATCCAACCCATAATGGGACTAACCAAACTTAGCCCAATAACATAATAATGGACCCCAATGCCTAAAAAGCCCAATTCATGCAACTCAAGGCCCACTAACAAAATCTTAACTAAGGTTAAGGCCAAGGCCCAATACTTAACTAAGGTCAATATGTTCAAAGCCCAACCGATGTCCATAAGCGCACTGATAGTTGTACGCTCGACGTACACATGGCGTACACAACCGATTAGTATGCAACGCCTACCACTCGATAAGCCAAGTGTACTGGGCTGCTTACCACCTTAAGCCTTTTAGTGCTTAATCCATTGAACCAAAGGGTTCGACTTTCAAATCTCATCCATTTTAGGGTTCTAATGCATAAAGTTGACAACTTTAACCCATATCATGTCTTAATGGAACCCAACAACCATTTTTGTCCAACAATACTCATAAATAAGGACTAAAATTCTTGCATGGACTCATAATAACCATTAAGATGACGTTTTGATGCATCCAAGACAGCAAAGGGGCCAATATCTAAATCCTCTAACTCTAGGATTTGCCCAAACTCACAAAGAGAACCCATGGGACCAAATAAAACTCATAATCAAGGCTTAAATCGTAACTATCAAAATGAATCATCAAGATAAGAGATCTATAACTTTTCAAGCTCCTAAAGTGGATGGAGATTATGGATCTAGAAACTCAACCTTAAAAATCCTTGGTCACCAAGTTTCTCCTTCTTGAATACACACAAAAAAATGCCACAAAAATCACTTCTAGTGCTCAGAACTCGCAAAGGATGAACTAGGGCTTCAATAGGACATAAAGAACAATGGAGGCTGATGAGGGTGAGTGTCTAAAGGCTATAATGATGATTAAATAAGGTGCAAACCCTAAAAATTAGGATTTGACCCAGGCATACATATGCCCCTTGTTCTTGAACCCTACAAACAATGTAATATCTTTAAGGACTTTTACTGAGAAACTTGTTTAAGTGTTAAAACTTTCATCGCAATGCAATAATCCAAACAATGGAGGGGGTCCAATAATTGATCTTGCCTTGAAGATTTTGGTGACTAGTGAATTTCACAGTAAAAAAGTTATTGAAAATTAAACTTGAGTCATTCACCCATACTTGATTCACCCTCTTTATCAATCCAAGAAAGAATTCTACAACTTGAAATTAATGATTTATTGAAAAAACATAGACAATTGCTCGATAGAATTCCTCCGCTAATACTCTAATACCAATTGTTGTGCAAACACAAGCAATATCATCAATGTTTTTATCCTTTCATATAATTTTAATACAAGTGCTTTTAAACCAAATACTTTATAAATATTTAAAAATTTTATTACAAGCTTTTAACTTGCTTTTTTTATTACATTTTCATACAATTTTTTATAACTTTCATAAATTTATTTCTAAACTTTCTTTTACAACAATTTTAAAGTGTTTAACAGATTTTGTATGACAATTTAATATTACTTTTATAATATTTTAAAATAATTCCGTTAAATATTAGTTTAAAATGTTGTATTAAAAAAAATTAATAGTTTAAAAACTTCTAATTAAAGAGTATTAAAAAGTTGGAATAATTTTAAAACATTTACATTATATAGATTTTTGTTTGTTTTTTCTATTTGCTAGGTAATATTTTCTTTTTATTTTGTTAAACGACCATCCACACTTATTGTTACATATTTAATTTATTTAATTTTGTTGTTAGATATTATTTACTTTAAAAATATTGTATATGTTTAAACACAAAAGAAAAAAAATTATAAGCAGCTATATAAAAAATTTCACAAAATAAATTCATATTTATTAATTAAAAAGTAAACTTTAAAAATGAGCAATATTTAATTAATATTTACGAAATTATGGATATTTTAAAAATAACATTTAAAAAAAATAATACAAAAAAATATGATAAATATACACTACAAGAAAATTTCAATTTAGCTACGGAAATATTCCATAGCAAAAATCTGAAATTTCGTAGCTAAAGTTGAATAACTATGGAATTTGCAACGATTAGACTCCGTAACTTTATTTCTTGTAGCAAAATGTTTAGCTACGGAATTATAATTCCGTAGCAATTTTGTTATGATAGTTTCTACGACTTCTATTTCGTTGCAATTTGAGTTTCATAGCAAATTCTGTAACAATTTTTTTGTAGCAAATTCCGTAGTCATTTGTTATGTAGCAATTTCCGTTGCCGTTTGTTCCGTATCAATTTCCATAGCCGTTTGTTCTGTAGCAAATTTTGTAGCTGTTTATTCCATAGCAAATTCCATAGCCGTGTATTCCGTAACAAATTCCGTAGCCATCTATTTCGTAGTAAATTCCGTAGCCGTGTGTTCCGTAACGAATTCCGTAGTCATCTATTCCGTAGCAAATTCGGTAGTCATTTTTTCTGTAATGAATTTTGTAGCCATCTATTATGTAGCAAATTCCATAGTCGTTTGTTCCCTAGCGAATTCCATAGTTATTTGTTCAACAACAATTTGTCTCGTAGTAATAGGTTTCAAAGCAAATTTGGTATGATAAAAATATTCAACAAAATCCAAATTTCCAGTTATAATATTTGTAAAAACATATAAAAACATAGTAAATATAAATTTAATAGTTAGATCAATTTTATGGATACATGTTATCATCAAAAATTCTTCTACAATGTTGTCTAATCATCAAAACTGAATATTAATTATAAATACAATCACACAGTTTAGATTTGAATTGTCATGTACACACACATCCACATATACTCAACCAAAATGGCAAAACCTGCAAAATCAAATTTTCAATCAACTTGATTAAAATTCAATCCGTTGTATGAAATCCCATTTTGCTTTGCTTTGGGGGTTTCCCTAGTTTTTAACCAACTAGAAATATAAAATCTGAAAATAAACACAAAACAAAATGAATCACCTTTTGAGAACCAAAGCTTAAAAATGATGGTTTTGTTATCACCTTGAGTGGAGTGGAGTGGAGTGGAATTGGTTTGTTTGTTTATAATTAAATTAATTCACACATTAAATTAATCATTGGAATACAATTATTTTTATGTAGTTAAGAGCATTATATATATAATATAAGACAATACCTTTACGACTAAAGCAAAATCATCATCCAAGATAATGATGTCACTACTTTCTTTTGCAACTTCAGTTCCTTGGATTCACATAGCAAGACCAATATCAACCTACAATTTCATAAAAAAATAGATATAAAATATAGTAAAAATAATTAAACTGATGATGAAAAATCTTTAGTTACTACCTCATGTAGAGCAGGGGCATCGTTTGTTCCATCTCCCGTAACAACATGTCCCCTCTTCCTCAACGCTTGGACAAGTAACAGTTTATCATTAGGTGAAGACCTCCCCATAACCTATTTCAAAATCAAAATTACATTCTTATAAAACTTGTTTACAACTACTCGACTAGGGTTAAAATAGTAAATTCACATACCGAAATCTTCTCAGCAACTTCTAGTCTTTGGTCTTCTGTATCAGCATTTGATGCCAAAATTCCACATTCTAAGGCCATTACACGGATTAAAAATAAATAAAATATAAAACCATTATATATACCATCAATTCTTAAAAAGTTTAGCTGCAGTTCACTTTTTTCTCTTTCATCAATTCACACGGAACTTTTTTTTTCCTTATTTTGAACACTAAACTTCTTGTATTCGCTCCTTCTTATCTCATTTTCTTGCCGCCTCACATTCCACCAATGAGATTTATCACGTTTTTTTATGTTTTTGATCTTATTTTTTTGCTTCCTTCTGCTTTTTGTTTTCTCGCTGCGTTCGTCCTTTCCTTTACAAGAGTTATTTTCCTTTGTTTTTGCTTGCTGCTTTCGTTTTCTCCCTTACAAGCTTCGTTTTTTAGGTATGTTTTGGTGATCCTCCCTCTATAATATCATGTCTGTAGGTTCGTCTTCTAAACGCCGTTTTTCTCCTCATTTAGCTGGCCTTCTGTCTTCCGAAAAAGGGTCCTGTTCTTCTGTTGGTAACGATACTTTACTTTTGCCTTCTTACGATGATATCGGCGATTGCACCTTTGTTTGTAGATTTTGTAGTGCTTTTTTCTGGTTTGATGAAAGGGTTATGTATTTGTCACGTCCAGATTGCCCTGCCTATACGCGGTGTTGTAAATCTGGTTCTGTTGTTTTACCATATCCACTTCTACCTCCTAAATTGTTGCTTGCTCTATTTGATTTTCGCCCTTTCATCAAAAACATAAGGGCTTATAATAGTATGTTTAGCATGACGTCTTTTGGAGGTAAGGTGGATGACACTGTTAATAGGGCGGATGGTCCATATGTATTCAAAGTTTCTGGTCAGGTTTGTCATTGGATTGGTGCTTTTGATGTTGTTGATGAAAAAGGACCAAAGTTTTTGCAATTGTATATTGTTGATACAGACCATGAATTGCATAATAGGCTCTCTGCTTTTCCAAAAAATGAAAATGGCTGTTTAGATTCAACAATAGTTGAGGCTCTTATGGATCTTTTTACAGCTCATAATGAATATGTTAGAACTTTTAAATGTGCAAAAGATATTGCTGCTGAAAGAAACTTACCTGAATATGCAGTTCGTCTTTTTAATGATGTTCCTAATCGTCTGTATGGCCCTCCGGCCCCTGGTAGTTTGGGTTGTATTGTTGTTGGTGAAGACGTAGTTGGCAGTACATATGATATAGTTGTGCATTCAAAAAGTGGTCCTCCGCGTAGGATTAGTAAACTTCATCCTAGCTACATGCCATTGCAGTATCCTGTTTTGTTTCCCTATGGTAAGGATGGTTGGTCCCCAAGGTTGAAGCTTTTAAATGAGGTTGGTTCGAAGGCTAGGAATCTTAGTATCAACATGTATTATTCTTACCAAATACATGCAAGGAATGGTATATATTCTGTTGTGCTAAATTCATGTAGATTATTCCAGCAATATTTAGTTGACGCATATGCATGTATTGAACTTTCGCGGCTTGATTTTTATGAACAAAATCAAAATCACCTAAGATCAGCATATGTTAGTGGTATTTACGATGCCATATCACGTGGTGATACTGATGGTAGAAGTATTGGTAAGCGTGTTATTTTACCACCATCTTTCGTCGGTGGTCCAAGGTATATGTACAGATTATCAGGATGCCCTTTCTATTTGTCGGGAATATGGGAATCCACAGTATTTTATAACATTTACGTGTAATGTTGGTTGGCCAGAAATCAGCAGGTACATGGACATGCATCGCCAGTTTGATGTTCCGAGCAGGGCAGACATAATCTCACGTGTTTCCATATGAAAGTTATTGCCTTTATTAGTTATTTGAAATCTGACAAGACGTTCGGTCCTGTTTCAGCACGTAAGTTTTTTTTTTTTTTTCTGTGATAATATTTTTAAAAAAATATGTTCCCTGTATTTTCGTTTATTCATTACTGTGTTTAGATTGTTATATTGTATTTACTAATTAATTTTTTTTAAATATTTTTTGTATTTTTAACAATGTTCTTTTAAAAAATATATTCGCTGTAAGTTTTTTTTATTTTTTTTTCTGTGACAATATTTTTTTAAAAAATATGTTCCCTGTATTTTCATTTATTCATTACTGTGTTTAGATTGTTATATTGTATTTACCAATTAATTTTTTTAAATATTTTTTGTATTTTTAACAATGTTCTTTTAAAAAATATATTCGCTGTAAGTTTTTTTTTTTTTTTTTTTTTTTTTTGACAATATTTTAAAAAAAATATGTTCCCTATATTTTCGATTATTCATTACTGTGTTTAGATTGTTATATTGTATTTACTGATTAATTTTTTTTTAAATATTTTTTGTATTTTTAACAATGTTCTTTTAAAAAATATATTCGCTATAATTTCGTATGTTCATTAGTGAATTTAGATTATTATATTTTATTTACTAATTAGTTTTCCTTTTTTGAAAATTTTATTGTGTTTACTATTTAGTTTTCCTTTTTTAACGGTTCTTTCTTTGGCAGATCTATATACTATTGAATTCCAGAAAAGGGGTTTACCGCATTGTCATGTGCTCATATGGATAGCAGATTCCCACAAGATAAAGGAACCATCTGCCATTGATGCTTACATTACAGCTGAATTACCTGACCCTATTTTGGAGCCATTATTATATCAGACAGTTACAAGATGCCTTGTACATGGACCGTGTGGTTTGCTAAATACTAAGTCCTCATGTATGAAGGATGGTAAGTGTAAGAAAAGATTCCCAAAAAATTTTCGTAACGATACAGTTTTTGACAAGGATGGTTATGCACATTATAAAAGGCGATCTGGTGAGGTCCATAGGTTAGAAACAGGTGTAGAAATAGACAACAGGTTCATTGTTCCGTATAACAAAAGACTGTGTTGTCGTTTCAATGCACATATAAATGTCGAGTATTGTGGGTGGAACATGATGATTAAGTATCTGTTCAAATATGTATCGAAGGGAATGGAGCGTGTTAGGTTTGTTATTCAGAGAGATGTGCACACTTCTGGATCTTCTGTTTCAGTAGAACCTCCTGTCATTGATGAGATTAAGAACTATATCGATGGCCGTTTCCTCTGCCCTCATGAAGCCGCGTGGCGTATACTTGATTTTCCGATTCATGACCGAGATCCGTCAATTGTCATACTGCCTATACATTTGCCAAATATGCAATCTGTGTTGTTTAAAGAAAACATTAGTATTAACCAGGTTGTTGACGATCCCAACTTTGGAAGCAGTTTGTTGTTAGGTTGGTTTGATAACAATAAGTGGGATAGAACTGGTCATAATCTTACATATAGCTCATATCCTACTAAGTACTGGTGGGACAAACAGGCAAAAGCTTGGAAGAGAAGGAAACGTTGTAATTCTCATGCATTAGGTAGACTTATCTTTGTTCATCCATCTGCTGGAGAATTATTTTACTTAAGAATGTTGCTTTGTCATCAAAAAGATTGTAGGTCTTATGAAGAAGTTCGTACTGTCTCTGGCACTGTGTACTCTGATTTTCGAGCTACCTGTGATTCGTTAGGTCTAATAGGGGAAGATCGAGAGTGGATGGACGCTTTTACTGAGGCTTCTGAATGGGCTACATCGTCTCAGCTTCGTTCTTTATTTTGTTATCTGCTCCTTTTATGTGATGTTAACGATCCTATGTGTTTGTGGCATTTTGGATGGAAGAAAATGAGTGATGATTTGGTACACAATATAAAGATGTCAAATCCTGGTGTTGATGTAATTATAGATGATTTGCACGTACAGCAGATGGTTTTATATGAACTGGATCATGTGCTTAGGTCATCTACACCTTCAAAATCTGTTGTTGATTTTCATTTGCCCAAACCTACAGAGGAGACTGTTGCTATGTTAAGAAATAGACTTTTTTTAGAAGAGACAACGTACGATAAGGACATTTTGAAAGCTACTCACCAACAGATGTTGTCGTCTCTAAATGATGAGCAGCTGAACATCTACAATGTTGTTCAATCTGCAGAAGCTAAAAGCCAACAGATGCTGCTTTTCGTTTATGGCCATGGAGGGACTGGTAAAACTTTCCTGTGGACAACAATACTAGCTTATTTCCGTTCAAGAGGAAAAATAGCTCTTGCTGTTGCTGCTTCTGGTATAGCATCTCTGCTTCTTCCATCAGGAAGAACTGCTCATTCCAGGTTCAAAATCCCAATTGACTTTACTGATAATGTCGCATGCAATATTACAAAAAAGACAATGCTTGCTGAGTTGTTGAAGGTAACTTCCATCATTATATGGGATGAGGCTCCCATGAGTGACAAACATTGTTTTGAGTGTTTGGACCATTCTTTGAGAGATATCCTTGAATGTGAAAGTAAAGTCTTTGGTGGTATGTCGATGTTATTAGGAGGAGACTTTCGTCAGACATTACCTGTGTCGCCAAAGACCACACCCTCTGAAATTATCTCCCTTACGCTGCCAAACTCGTACTTATGGCCATATTTCAGTTTGTATAAATTGACAGATAATATGCGGCTTAAAAACCTGTCCACCTCATCTGATAGTCATTTAGGTATCTCAAAGTTTGCATCCTGGTTACTTCAAATTGGGGATGGACTCATTGGTGAAATTGATGCATGCGATAAGACAAATACCAAATGGGTTGAGATTCCTATGTCACTGATCATACCTCCAACAAAAAACGCATTACACAGCCTTATAGACTTTGTTTATGGAGATGATATTCTGAAAAAATCCTCTGCTTCGACTCTGTCTGCTAGAGCAATAGTTTGTCCAAAAAATGAAACAATCCAAAAAATAAATGATATAGTTTTGCAGAGAAGTCCTGGTGATTCAAAGATGTATGAAAGTGCTGACAGTATTGAGTTCAATGGGAACCAAAGTACAGAGTTTAATACTTTCTATCCATTAGAGTATTTGAATGCCTTGACCTTCCCTTCCATACCTGTGCATTCACTGTTATTGAAAATCAACACTCCTGTTATGCTGATTCGGAACATAAACCAAAAAGAAGGTTTATGCAACGACACACGACTGATGGTTTCACAGTTATTGTCCACCGTTATTGAGGCAACAATTATTACTGGGACTTCCATTGGGAGCAAAGTTTTAATCCCCAGAATTAGATTTATTCATAAAGCCCCTGATATACCTTTTACCTTTGTTAGGAAACAGTTTCCATTAAAAGTCTGTTATGCTATGACTATCAACAAAAGCCAGGGGCAATCTTTAAAAAAAATTGGAATTTATCTGCCTCACCCGGTATTCACACATGGACAACTTTATGTCGCATTGTCTCGTGCTACCTCTCCAGATTCTGTGAAAATACTTATAGATTCTGATGAAAACACTGCAAATAATAAAACGAAAAATGTTGTTTTCAGAGACTTCCTACACAAAGTTAATACTTCAGAGGTCAAATACATATTTAGCTTTTATAATTATATACAACAGCCTAATACATGTTTCTTACTTTTAATATTTATTGTTACATTCACAAATCATACTTATATTCATTGTTAACTATGACACCACACATCAACCTGATGCATGTATGTTAGCTTTTTTTACATGACTGCCTCATAAAACATAATATTTACTGCTGCATTCAGAAATGATGTTTATATTATTTGTTGACTACCATTCCAGACATGTCTCAAATAACAACAACAATCTCAGAATTGCATTATGGGTGTCCGGAACAGCGATACAGGTATATAAATAAATCTTTTTTCATGACAACTTTATATTACCAACATACATTCTTCAAAGACAATAAAATTATAACAATTTTTTTCACTTTAGGTACGAATCTTGCGTATGTGGACACCACAGATTAGAAATCATGAGACATGGTTCTTGGCTGTTGACAAAAATGTAAGTTATCAACTTCCATCCCAACCTCTTCTTCTAATCTATACACACATTAACCCTATATACAATCTCCACTATGTACAAGGGTGATGTTGTTCAGATTCTGGAACAAAGAAAAGATCAAAGCTTTCTACAATCCGTTCTCATTCCTTCTAGATGCTACACAATTGAGAAGTACGGATGTGGAGTACCGGATCGTTATCAAAAGTGGATCAATAATGAATTCTACATGGCTGTTGGGACAGTATCCTCTATTACACCTCTTCCAGACACTGCCATTATTCCAAAACATTGGTTTTCTTTTGTTTCCAAAACACAGATACCAGATTACAAAGATCAACATGCAGGTGTTACTATTCATACAAATAAAACAAGTAACATACAAAAAATCCTTACATACACTAATAACAATTAAATAACTTTACCTGCAGATTTTGTTGGCTTCTTCAGCAAGCTTATCAACTGCACGAAAAAAGATAGTGAACCATACCTGTTGTTGATACTAAAAAATGATTCGTAAGTACTTTTTCAGTTGTATTACCGTAATATGTTATTAACATGTGTCAAACCTATGAACATCAGCGGTGAAGACATTGCAATAAGTTTATGGAAGGAATTCACCAGTGTGTCTTCAAAGTTTGATCGTGTTGTTCTCGAAAATGCTCCTGCACCTGTCATAGTCGCCATAACCAGCATAAAGATCTCTACTTACGCAGGTAACTACGTATAAAATGTTGTTACATTAATAATTTTAAAAATACAATTATTTGCTTGTGTATTATGTTGAATACTAAATATACAGGAGCACTACGACTTGGAACAAGTAGTGCTACTCATCTATACATCAACCCACCAATTCCAGAAATGAAACTACTAATGGACAGGTATCATAAAGAATGCACATTGATAAAATACATTACATTCTAAAATACTTTTAATTCACGGATTGCAGTTACAATACATTACCTGAGGTACCTGTTTTTTTAGATCCTCCAATACAATTGTCGAAAATACTCGACAAAAGTCATTCTGATCTTTCGGTATGTTACACCTACATGTATATATGTGTCCACACAAGAAAAAAATATCATGTTTATACTTTTAAGCAGATTATATACGTCTGTACGTTATATAGGACAGAACTCTTACGACAAAGGCTTGCATAATTGAATATATCTTCTCAGACTCTTGGTACCATGTTCAATGTCCGAAATGCAAAAATACAACTTTCAAACAAGGGAAAAACTGGTTTTGTCCATCAGATGGAATACTTGAGTCTCCATGTAGCACGTAAGCATCAGACAATGAAAAAATCAATTAATTAATAAAAGAAAAATATAGAAGCTTGGCAATAACTCATTTCTACCCGCATGCAGGTTTAAATTGAATGCAGTTATTAAAGATGAAAGTCATTCCATGACTGTTGTGCTGTCTGATAATGCAACACAGGAATTACTAGGCACAACAGCAGATAACCTCAGATCAGACAACACAGATGACAGAAAGGAAGTACCACCAATTGCTATCTCTTTACTAGGAACTCCAAGAAAAATGAAAATTCGCATGACAAATACATCAAAGGACAACAACATTCGATTCATTGTTACAAATATCGAAAAAATGCCTTCTGAAGTACCACCTTCCATGACAACACCACCTCCTGATCGTCCAACTTCTTCAAAAAATACTAATGAAGAAAGTGCTCAGAACTACCAACAGAGTAAACAAAATGTTAGAAGATCACTTCCGTTTGAAAATCCAGGTAAATTTTCATTTCTAGTGTACATATATATAAGGGTAAATACATATTGCCAAAATGGTGAATATATTTAATTATAAATGAAAACACAGTTACTACAAAACGAAAAGCCGCCCGTAAAATGGAATAGACCTCACTTCTTCGGATGTTGATCATAAAAGAAATACTAATGGTATATAACATGTTGCAGCTATGTACAAAAAATGTTTAACTTTGGTGTTCTAGCTATTATAGTATCTGTAGTTGTACCCTTAACTCATAATGGAGTTTGTGTTGGCTTTACTATAATGTAATAACTAAGGCAGTATTTCGTATGACAGATAGTTATGTAAAATATGTTACACTTATGTAAAAAAAAAGTGTTTTGCTTTCAGCTTTTATACTACTCTCTGTAGTTAAACCCTTAACTGATGATGACGTTTGTATTCGCAGCCTACTATAATGTAATAATTAATGCAATATTTTGTATGATAAATAGTTATGTGAAATACGCAACGACAATGAGTTATGTACGTTTTTTCATAAACGACCCACAACTGAATGGTTTATTAACAATTTGTCACATAGTTATAAACGACCCACAAGTAAACAGTTTATTAAACGGCCCACAACGACAGTTGCTTATTAACATAACTGAATGGTTTATTGACACTTTCTCACATAATAAAAGTTAATACTTAATACCATGCAAAACGAAAAAAAAAATTACAACAAATTACTCCATTACAACAACTCATATTAATTACAACTAAGTTATTGTCAAAAACACCAAATAAAAGCCAAAACTATAAAAACAAATTTTATTAAGAAAATAATTAAATATTACCGCCCTTTGCAGATAGCGTACATCTGTAGGTCTAACATATCATAGGTTCAACAACTAAGTGATATGATGACACGCCACATGAGTCTCAAAATACCTTTATATAGATGTTTAATAACCATACCTATGAAAAGGGATAACTTACACATGGACATCTAAACAATACACTTCCACTATATAATGTACATAAACAAAAATACTTCCAGACAAAAAACAATCCCTACAAATCTTTCACTCTCCATACAAAAAAAAATATGAAAACCACACTTTTCAACAAAAGTCTCGCTGTTATGATCGATTTCCTTAGGGAAATCGGAAATCTGATTGAAGCTGCCCAAGGAAAGTTAGAAGAAAGTTTTTGCCTCGATGAAAACATCCAGTCATACATGGCGAACAATACAGAAGATCCCGACGTACAGATACTACACAAAATATTTGAAAAAGCCAGAGCCGATGACCAATCCATGACTGACAACTTTTCGTTTACACTCGGAGACATCCACAAAAGAATTGGTAAATATAAGCGCAAAATGAAGGATACATCCACAGACTGACTTTTCGTCTGATATCCACCTGCAAACCACTTGCACCTTCGCTGTATAATAGTTTTAATGTACGTAGTTAAATAGTTTTAATGTACATAGTTAAATAAAATACATGTTTTATGTAAAAAATTATATATAGCAAATGATATAATCATTATGCATGAAATTATATATACCAACCACTTACGATAAACGAATCGCAAACTACTAACCTTCAATGCTTAATAAATGATAACACAACTCCAAAGACCTTCCAAAAATTTCTAATTAACACATAACTCTGAAACTGCCGCCACAACTCACATCACATTCCATCGTCTTCTCAAAAATTAATACTTACATTAAATACCCAACAACCACTTCAAAACCGTATTAAATTTCAATATGCCTACTTAAGTAAACGTTTATTCATCAAACATTCTCATACTCTCGTACTATACACATCACAGACATCGATCACAAACACAAAAAAATGAAGCCACAAGAAATGAAAAGTATCCTCAACAACCTCATCTCTCACGAAGAAGCAGAGCAGCTTTCGTTAACCAACATGGAGGAAGAAGTCCATGAGCACCAAAAGTACAAAAAAAAACTTATGGAGGAGATGACCTCAAAACCATCATACAACAACTACTTGACGATGCAACAAATCGTGTTTGAAACCAACTACGAGGCCGGTAGGATGCTAAAAATCATGCATGAAATGAGAAAGAAACACGAAGAGGTTATCAAAAAACTCAAAAGAAACATCAAGGAACTTCCTAAAGACATCCATCCATACGTATAATGTGTTCGCAGGTTTAGTATGCCTTCCAGAAAACATCATTTAGTAATGTACTCGTCAAGCGTAATAGTCTTTTGGTAATGTAATCGTCAGTGTCACTGTATGGCCACGTTCAACCTCAATTTCATATATGTATTGCAATGTCATCAATATTATCGTATGCTTCCTTATGTACAGCGCCAACGGCGCATAGAATTCCCTCTAGTTTACATAAAATTACAAAAATAATAATTAAATATTGTATACTACATTCACACCAACCTTTACGCACAGTTCCACAGCCTCTCTGACACCTTTCCGACATGGATCCTACAAGGAAACCATGTATATATATATATATATATATATATATATATATATATATATATATCTTTGATGACATGGACATGGACATTCACATACTTTTAAACCAACAATTACCAGTAAGACAAGATCACCCTCAGGTAGCTCCCATTGTGCCAGCTCATCTTCTCCAGTTGGAACAGTTTCAGCTTCACATGGTCTTTATGCAATAGCAACACAACACAAACTTCCAGAAACCATATATTCAATTGCTTTTTTAAAATATTCCACCTGTAATGTAAACAATCACAACTTAGAAAACATGTTCTTTTTTTTTTCAATCAAGATGAAATCTCTAACCTTTTCTTCATTGAGGAGGACAAGTTGTCCATCAATGTCCATGTATCTTGTACATGCTGCTAACACAATTTCAGCTGCCCCTTTCCAGTGTACATGAACTTCAGAATCAGGCTACTGAGAAAATTAAAAAAATCAAAAATATACTTTTTATGTGAACCATTTAAAATCTTTTATAAATAATCCAATAAAATTACCCGTTTTACAACAACATCGCCTCGTGTTTTTCTCCAAGTTAAATGGGAATGCGTGAATAATCGAAGATTCTGATCTAACTACTACAAAATTCATCCCAATTTGCATTTATTTTATAAAAAAATATGAGTATCATTTAATTATTAAATGTATAAATAAATGAAAATATGAATGAAGAACTAACATTAACCCCCCATTGAAGTATGGCCTTTTCTGTTGGTGATCTAGAAACCTCAATTTCTTGGCCTCCTTATTAAATACCAAAAATAATACGTATCATTTAATTTAAAATATTATAGAAAAAGATTTACTATATTTGAAAAGACCTACCTCAGGTAAAAATACACTGCCAGATGTATTTTGAGCTACACTTTCAACATGAAGAGATACAATCTTTGGTGGTAATGCTGACGTGTCATTTGGTGGATCATTTTTCATTTTAAGAGTAGAGCAGGACCTGGAATAAAGAAAAACAAACCAAAGCTAAAAAAAATTATCTCAAGAAGCAAAGTGAATAAGAGTAGAGCATAACCTGGAATAAAGAAAAACAAACCAAATTTTTTACAAGTCATCATGCAATTATTTAAGTCATCAATAGCAATTCACATTAGTTTTACATCCGATGGCATTTCTAATTTCTCCACCAGTTCCTAAATGTAAAAAACATACAATAGACAACATATAACAAGTCACCATGAAAATTTTATAAGCATGTCATAAAGAACAAACTAAAGACATTGATTAAAAATTTGACTTCTACTAGGAAAGAATAGTTTTGAGCATATAAAATTTTTAGTAATTATGTTTGAAAATTGAAACACAAAGAAAATAATAAATATGGAGACTAATAGATAATTTTACACTTACATAACCTAAGAACATGTGAGACTTACAAATTAAGGTTAATAATTGACATATGACTATATAAGTTCAGTATTTCAATAACTAATATGCTCTATTGCAGGAAGTATTCAACAGATACATGTTATTACCATATTATGAATATGGTAATCATATTAGTAGAACACAGAAACTACATTATTAGTATTACCATCATTTGTTACCTCTATATGAGATTAGCATAGAATATATGGTATTTTTTTATTTCATTAATGATCTAGGATCAGGTTATGCATCATCGTAGAGAACCTGGTTCTTGCAAGCAGGTATTTTGGAAAGATTGTGGCCTCTCGATAGCATGTTGTTTTTGCACATTGTCTGTATTTTGGAAAAAAAAGGGTTTGAGTTTAACATAACCTAGAATATCCTTAGTTTTGTGGTCAAAGAAGCATAGGTGCTCAAGAGCCCAACATAGCTCAATTGCAAGTTAGCACATCGTATATGGCTCAGTTTCTCACCTTGATTTCCATATGATGATTTTGTAGCTCATTTGTAGATAACTATTGAACATCATGAGCTTTTAATTCTAACTTTGTAGGATCTGAGTAACCTGCAAAAACGAGCATGAAATGTCAACTTCAGTTAGAAAAATATAGTATCGACAGAGATGAAGAAAATTTGGTCAATACTATTGTCCAATGCCCCCAAGGTTATACTAAACTCATGGTTGTCCATCAAACGCCATTCCCTCGTTCACTCGGTCATTCCTCATCTTCAAATTAGGGTTCACGAATTTGTAAATCTCATTATCAATTGAACTTTCACCATCCAAGCACACAATCACCAGCAAATCTAAATTAACATTTCCATCAGTTGCTGTGGTGATGTTTGCAATGACATTACGACAAAATGTTAGGGCATAGTTACAGGTTACACAAATATAATGGAAGCGCATACCTATAAGCTATAAGGTAGCATAGAGATCGAGATAGTCGGTTATATATCTTCGTGCAGTCGCAGAGAGATGAAGAGAACATTTTTCATTTTCCATTGGTCGATCTTCACCGGGAATCAGATGTTCAATGACCTTCGCAATCGTAGAGAGATGAAGCTAGCAGCTGAGTCGTTCGCCGTTGATCTATCTTCATCGAGAATCAGTCGTTCTTTATGCTCCTACAACCTACCGACTGGCAGAGAAGGCGACAAACGACATAGCAAAAAAGAGTTGTGAGAGGAGCTCCATCGAATTTATGTAGTTCACGTCGATCATTTGGGGGCGGAGCACGTAGAGCGAAGTCCTATCG